ATCAGGATAAGTGGTACTGGTATTATTTCGCGGACGCGGCCCTCAGCTCACTGCGCGCCTGCGCTCTTAAACAACAACACCACCGACATTTTGGTATCAACATCGTCGACGACGCCGGCGCACCCCGCGCCCCTTGCCCTCTCAAGACGCGCCCTAAGAGCAGTGGTAGACCACTGTTAGATGGAGATTACTTTTTAAATTCATCATCAATCTGCCCTTATCCCTACTGAGGGTAGACACAGTATGTACTCCATTTATCCCTATCAGCTGTTATATCTGAATCCACCTTCTTCTTGCACATATCTTTCACGCAATCCTTTTTAATTTACTTTTATTAAGCCTAATTTTATTCTCTTTCTCTTCACACCGCTTTCTTATAAGTAAAGTGTGGGAGGAGAAAGTGGATTTGACGGAGAAGGGGACGCGAAGGAATGGAGTAGGCGGCAATCTGATCGTTTTGCGTAGACATCCGAAATTGCAGATGCGTTGCCTACATCTATCGACAGAAAAGGGGAAGCACAGAATGAGCTACGCTTCACCTGCATCAAATCCCCATCTCCTTCGCATCTTTTCTTCACAAGATAAGTGTGCGAAGGGAAAATGATGGGGTCATTTTTCTGTGCGTCCCTCCTCCGTCGATAAAATCATTTACGTCCACCGGGTTACATATCTTTGTCGCACACTCCTTGTACACTTAAACACAATTCAATTAGGCCAGGTTATACTGGCCAGGGAAAGTTCCTCTATTTTTGTGGAACATCAAAGCATGTTATACTTTTCTGTTTGTGAATACAGCTCGGGTTTTTTTTGTTCTATTTCTAATTATTCCAACAAAGGGATTGGTAACCCAGAGCAAAATTTTCGATTCCATTTTTAAATGGAAATTCGCTTCGAGATTTGATTTCGTCTGCACAGAATTAAAAAACTACTTATTATAGTAGCCTATGTGTTCTTCCAGACTATGTTCTACATCTATAACAAATTTCATCAAGATCTGTTTAGTCGTTCTGGAGATACCTTCAAACATCCATCCATCTAAACATTCGCATTTATAATATTAGTAAGATAGTTGGAGTGTTCCAAATGAAGTCTAATCGTAAGTCGATTTAGTAAATACCATCTTGTATTTTATAAGCAACACAGAAGATTTCCTCTATCATAAGGCTTCACAGGCCTTAGCTTTGTGCTTTGGATAAGGTTATCTATCTTACTGGTATTATAGTTGAGTTAAATGGGAGCTTCGACAAACATCTCAAGAAGCTCTCGCTTATCGGACGACACGACAGACCGCCAGGTTCCATCCACACCACCTAGATGGCTGGCATACCACAACGTCGCGATTCTCGCGCAATTTCTTGCCTCGCACAGCCGCGTTGTGGAACGGTCTGTCCTCGGCGGTATTTCCAAACCAATACGACTTAGGGATCTTCAAGAAGCGAGCATACCATTTCCTTAAAGGCCGGCAACGCATCTGCAGTTCCTCTAGCGTTGCAGATGTCCATGGGTGTCGTTGATCACCTCGGTGTACCCGCGGCTCGTTTGCCCCCCTTCTCTTATAAAAATAAAATAAAATAAACAGTTGGATTAAGGGTCCGATACGAAAGGCAGTTATCCTAGAAAACGCGCGCATCGTGAGAAGGTTCCTGTCTCTGCAGCCCTCACCACTGGTTGTTTGAGTCATGGGATTCCGCAGCCGGTGGTGCTCTATTTTTAACATAATATATTTTGTATATTTTTTTATTTTCGAGAGCGTCGATGGCTCAGGGATTTCAGCTCTTGATTTGTTATCTGAAGGTCCTGAGTTCGAATCCCGCCATATACCAATGTGTTTTTCGATTTCCGATTTACAGATGTACATTTATCCTATGTTGTTACGGTGAAGGAAAACATCGTGATGCTGCACATATCTGAGAAAGTCAACTATATGTGTGAAGTCAACCCGCACTTGGCGCAGCGTGGTTGACTATGACCTAGTCACATAACTTATGGTAGGCTCCGAGCCCCTCAGTGGAGACGTATAGTGAGCTGATGATGATCTGATAATAAATAAATGAATACATGGGTATTATAAATCAAAATATTTGGATGTATGTTATAATGTATCTACAGAACGGTTGAATGGATCTAGAAGATGTAGAACATAGTCTGGAAGAACACATAGACTACTAATTTACTTTTTATAAATACTAAGCGAACGGAATCTCGTACAACAGCTATTATTTCGAATCTATTGGGTATCTATAACAATCTACAAAAACATATAAAAGAAAGTGGTGTTAGTTACACTATTTATAACTCAAGAACGTCTTTACCGATATGCCTGAAAATTGTTGAGGAGGTAGCTTAGAGCCAGGAGACGGACATAGGATACTATTTATTATTTTTTTTTCGAATTTATGCCTCGCCTGCTTTTTTATTTAACTTACTAATATTATAAATGCGAATGTTAAGATGGATGTGGTGTGGATGGATGGATGTTTGAAGATATCTCTAGAAAGGCTAAACGGATCTCGATTAAAGCATACGTATAGAAGATAGTCCGAAAGAACACATAAGCTATACTTATTAAGTTTTTTCGTATGTCCACGCGGACGGAGTCGCGGGCGACAGCTAGTGTATTATATAACCATATTTAATCCGTAACAATGTTGCGTTAGCAAATTAAAATACAGAATTAGTCCCCCTCTGTGTCCGTGTTTTGTTAATTAACCCCCAAGATATACGGCAGCCATTTTTAAAAAGTAATAGACTAGTGATGTACATACTGCTTTAATATCGACCATAATTAAATTAAAAAATATAAAAATACTTTTGAAACAAGCTTTAACTATGTTTCTTTTTATATTATAAGGTGGCAAACGAGCGATCGGCCACCTGAAATCGCTGAAATAGCGATGTGACCGTTGCCCATAGACATACGCTATTGCATATGCCTACCGTTAATCGACGGAGGAGAGGATGCACAGAAAGAAAATATCTTCCCTTTCCATGCATCCTCTCATCCGGAAAGTCCACTTCCACTTCCCATCCTTTCCTTATAAGAAAATGGATGGAAAGGGAAAGAGGACTAAATTAGGCCTCCGGGACGCACACTCATCAGACTGTAGTTGGAATAGCTTCCACTTGACGCCTGTCTTCTGTGTGGTCGTGGTATTTCACCGGGCGAGCCGGGACAATT